TTGACTACTTTCAATAGCTCTAGATTTGGAAACTTCGAAGTTTAATAAAAAACAATTTTTTCAATTCCCTTAGAATTTCAAACAGGTTATCAATGACAATATTTTCCAATTCCTGGTATCAAACTTCCAAGTTTCATATTCCTTCCAAAAAAATTCTAGCCTCCAATTATCGAATAGTCATAGATATTTGAATGGCTCTAGTATTCATGCCAAAGTGCTTTGATCATATTTCCAGTTTTGAATACCTTTCTTGCACATTGTTAAATGCGTTGAATGGTCACATCCTATTTAGGGATGGCAATGGACCCGACCAGATCTAGGACCGACGGGTAGATCCGACCTCAGGTTTGGGTATGAGTACAAATTTTAGATCCGAAAGATAGGGTTTGGGTCAAATATCTGAACCCAGATACTATTTGGGTCTAGTTCTGCATCCAGCTAGACCCCATTCGAGTAATATGGGTATATGTGGATATTCAACAATACGTTGGTTTTTAGGAATTTCAAGTTATTACGTAAAACAATAAGAAATATAGGTATATGTGTGTATTCATAAATGTTGTGCAATACTGTAAATAATGACAATAATATGGATATATCATATATGATGGTAAAGAAAAGGGTAAAAAACAAAAAAAAGAAAAGAAAAAAGAAGCTCTTAGTCATAGGGTGACAATGGACCCGACCAAATCTAAGATACGATGGGTAAACCCGACATCGCTTCTAGATATGGGTAAAAAATTTGGACTCAAAAAGTTAGGTCCGTGTCCAAAGTCTCGACCCGACCACTTGTCACCCGTAATCCTATTTTAAAGAATAACTATTTCCGACCATATATGCTCCAGGAGTTCATTAAAAAAAAGAGAAATTTCATATAACGTGTCAACTTTATATTATAGAAGTAAGACACTATCCTAGAACGCATGGAAAATGGTTGTTCGGATGCTAGAAAAGCCTCCAATTTATCAGCTTGATCTCACAATATTGATATACAAAAGGAAAAAAAAGAGGATTTCAGATCATAAAAATACTACATTTAATAACGTATTATTTCGATTGTCCATTTCTAAGATTTTCAAGTGTTTACTGATCTGCTCGATCCATACCATTTTTTGAGTTGAAAATAAAATTTCAAGTAGTCATAAGGATTTTCAACACTAAAACCGCACCTTTCGATACAATTTGGAGATGCATCCTATTTTGTCTAATATTGACACCTTATACAACCCAAAATATAATGGAAAAAGTTTATATAGAGCCGAGTCTCTAAACAATCAAATTAGAGCGCAACTCAAAAATTTTATTAGAAAAGATTGTTTTGATGTCCAAATATCGTCAAATTGATCATCTCGTCCAAACATCATGATGCATGGACATGAGAAAAAAATGGATTTCAAATTTTGGGAATAGTACATCTTGTAATGCATTTCTGGATCATCAATTTTCAAATATTCATAGATCTGCTCGATCTACACTATTTTTAAAGCTTTAAATTTTATAAATTAAAGAAGAAAATATATTTTAAGGCTATCACAAAGATTTATAATATTGAAACCACATTTCTCGATACTATTCGATGGTTTACTTTATTTTGATTGTCTAGAGCCTCAGCTCTATGCAAACTGCACCCAAATATAATAGGGTACCATCCCACAACATTTTGGTGCATTTTGTTGTATGGGACAAGTGTATGCATCACTTTAAAAGGAAAATGAGACATAAATATAACAAGGAAAATTATACAAATAGACTATTTACTTTTAACACAAAGAGGTCACAAATCGCTCCTATCTTTCAGAGTTTAAATCAGATGGTTGTGAGCATGTTATTGACTAGACTCAAAGTTCCAAAAACAATTTCTCGAACTTCATGATACACCCAAGCCATCCAATTTGATATTTAATGGTTAGAAATAATTGTGACTTCCTTGTATAAAAAGTGAATGGTCTCATAGTGTATAATCCCATAAAAGAATTATTTCTTTATTTGTCCGCACAAACTTCTAATGTTCTTGATTTAGCAATTTGAAGTTTCAAGGTATGTAAATCTCGCAGGAATTTTGTTTTATATAGTACGATTTGAGGTGCCACAACATAAAGCTACTAACTTTCTCAAATTATATTCAATTCTTATAATGTTGGGTAGACTTAATTTTATTCTAAAATTGAGATGCCACACAAAACGTGGATCTTATGAGTACGAGAAGTTATATGTGAGCTATAACACTGAATTGCTATGTTTAAGAATTAGGAAAAAGTTTCTATAAGGTTGATGTCTTAAATTGTAGAATTAAGGTTGATGTTGGGAAATTATCTAATTGATCATGTAGATAAATAAAAAAAAAAAGATTTAAATCCCCGGACAATCCGTTTTTAAGATTTCCTTCATCTATAGATCTACTTGATTTGAACAATTTTTGAAATTTTAAATTTTATAGTTAGAGATGAAAATAGATTATCAGGTCATCCTAATAATTTTGGACACAAAAATTATATCTTATAACAAAATTTGGAGATGCACCTTTATTTTGATTGTTTAAGGCCGGAACCTTATGCAAACTGCATCTAATAGAATATAAATATATAAAAAATTATGAGAATCACATTATCCATGAGAGATAAACAATTTTAAACTTTACTCATTCCTTTTAATTTAATTTCAAAATAAAGTAATTCATTTTTTATATATGTTTTAATAAATTTCCTAAAACAAAAGTGCCACTAAAACACATATGGGAAAAGTTTATATAGAGCCGAGGCTTTAAACAATCAAATTAGAGCCTATCTCAAAAATTTCACTTGAAGAGGTTGTTTTGATTTTGAAATATCATCAAATTGATCATCTCGACATCAAGATGCATGGACATAAGAAAAAAAGGGATTTCAAGTTTTGGAAATAATGTATTTTGTAACGCATTTGTGGACCGTCAATTTTCAAGATTTTCAAGTTTTCATAGATCCGTCGATCTAGACTATTTTATAATCTTTAAACTGTATAAATAAAGATGAAAATTTATTTTAAGACTACCACAAAGATTTCCAATATTGAAACCGAGTTTCTCAACACTATTTGAAGGTAGGTTGTAATTTGATTGTTTAGAGCCTAGGCTCAATACAAACCGCACCAAAGACATATTAGTTTACCTTAAAGATGATATCATGGCCTTTGAACAAGACCTCATCTATGAAATCAACGAAACCAGTAAAGGGAAGCTTCCATATAAAAACACCCAGAAAGACATGAATACTTGACCCATTACTTGACCACTTTTGAGTTAAGACAAGTAATTGACCCAAGTTTGACCATAAATAGGCACAAATGCCACCGTTTTTAACAGAGAAAAAAGAAGAAAAAAATAATCACATGGCAGGTTTTATGAGAATTCCACTTGAAGAAACGGAATTCAACACAGATTGGTCACATTTCATTTGCAATAATAAATTTGAAATTCCAAGCACATAAATTGTTTTTTCTCCCTGCAAATTGCCTGAAAATTGATGATTTGTTCTTTAAATATTCATATACGAGTTTTTCTTAAAAAGACTGCCTTTTCTGCTCCTTTTTTTTATCTCAGCTATTTCGTCTATTACCCCCAATTTTGTTTACTCCCATTATTTTTATTTTTATTTTATTTTTCACTTTTTGATCCTTATATTTCGTCATTATCTCAAAAAACTATACTTACTGTAAAACAAAAAAGAAAAAAAAAAAAAGTAAAAGAAAGAAAAAGAAAAAGAAAAAGGAGAGTTTAATTAAACGTGGGTCATTCTAAAAACTGAAATAACTTGGACTCTACGTTTAACCATGCATCCTAAACTGTTCCGACCCATATCCAGTTACTCGGTTTTGCAGTGTAGATTGAGACAAACCAATGTCTTTTACCGTTTTTTATTAATATTAAAATAATATTTTTTAATAAAACCAAAATTTTGCCAACTTTTATTAATGCTTTAATTTTTGTTTATTGACATTTTGTTTATTAACGTTAAAGAATTTGCTTTTTCAACGAAAAGATTTATATTTCTTGTGGGTTTTTTTTTTTTTTTCATGAAGAAAGAAACCCACAAACAAGAGAGTGTGGGTTTTTTTTTAGTACGTTTTTTCTTTTTTTTTTTTGTAAAAAAGAACCCACAAACAAACCCACATACAAGAAAGAGAGAGCAGCTGGATAATATCTCATCATAGATGGTTAATCAGTCATTAACAGAGATATAGATAGAGAGAGAGAAAAGCGAGATATCATTGTCATGGTTTTTTCTCAATTAAACTGTTACAACAAGAATTCAGCCATTCAGCTATATTACAGATTATATCTTTAATAAGACCATAAATCCCTATATCTTTTCGGACTATTTTCAATCAAGTCTTTTGGGTCGTTCTACTCTTCTTTTTATCATTTTCAATCCTTCGGACCCTTTGTCATTTTCAATCTTTCTACTTATAATAACTTACTTGTCATTTTCAATCCTTATACTTATAATAACTTTTCAGTCTTTCTACTTATAATAACTTATAGGAATTCAGCCATTCAGCCCTATTAATGGGCATACCCTCATAAATCCTAATGTCTTTTTCGGACTACTTCCAACCAAGTCTTTTGGGTCATTTTATCGTTCCCCTTGTCCTTTTCAATACTTCCGACCCTTGTTTTTTTTAATCTTTCCACTTATAATAACTAATACCTCCTTACCCCTTGTTTTTTTTAATCCTTCCACTTATAATAACTGGCACCTCCTAACCGTGTTGTACGGGCCCAAATAAAAAGAGATAAAAAAATATTTGAGTGGAAGTCTCATTGGATATTATCGTATTTGATCTTTAATCTTTTCAATTTATTACATTAATATATTATTCAGTGTAGAATCAATTTTATTGAGCTTAATAGATATGAATTCAAATTATATACAATTAAAAACATAAATTTATCAAAAGTTCTATAATAATAAAATAGGCAATAATTTCTAATGCAAATGAAGTATCAAGATTAAATTATAAAAAATCATCATCCAAGCTTCAAATCCGCATGTTTGCATCAATTCATTGCACACCTCATTCTCTTTGTTAAGATTTCAGTTATTTTCAAATTCAAATTGCTACTTTTGCTTTCAAAAACTTCCTATCAGATCAGTACATAGAGCGAGAAAGCCTCTGGTAATGGAGAGAGAGATGGCTACTGTTCTCGACACTTGAATCTCTTCCTCATGGCCTGGTCATCAATAGGCCTCGTCTGCCTGTATATAGAACTGAGGGACCTGAACCGCCTCTTCGGCTTCGAAATCGCAGAAGGATTCTTCTCCTCAACCACTGTTCCGCTGCTGCCGTCTGCTGAATAAGAAGAAGAAGAAGGAGAATGAGAAGGCGAAGCATTCAAATCCAACCTAATCTTCTCTGATTCCCCATCGTCACTAAGCTGAACAAGTTGTTTCGCAGCTGCCATCTCATTCTCTGCCAATGGCTTCAGCTTTTCTTGCTCTTTAAAACCAGCTTTCCTACAAAAAGAACAACGAAGAACACTTATAGAGACATGGAGAATGAGGAAAATCTTTGAAAGTTTACTTCTACACAGGGATTTTCCCTCTCTGTAAAACCAGTATTTTTACCGACCGACTCGAATAAGAAAGAGTAGATAGAGAATGAAGGAAAAAAAAAAAAAAAAGCTTGGAAGGAGAAAACATGGTTTTAAAGCTTCGTACATTGAAATTTACATAGAACAAGGAAAACTTAGAGAGAGAAACAATAAATTTACATAGAATGAATGAATGAAAAAAAAAAAAAGCTTGGAAGAGAAAACGTGGTTTTAAAGTTTAGTGTTTTCTTTGAATTTTACTGTAAAACCAGTTGTTCTAGAAAACGAAAGAGAACGAGAAGGAAAACTTAGAGAGAAACATGAAATTTAGATAGAATGTCCTAGAAGGAGAAAACATGGGGCTTAAAGGGCTCACCTTTCTTGCTGTTGTATAACAATCGAGGGGTGTATCGCCATTAGAAGAGCAGGAAAGCAAGGGGTTTTGCTTCTCTCTCTATGTTTCTGATTGGAGAGGAGCGGGTTTGGCGTATATTGAGAGGTTTGCTCTGAAGCAATTGCGAGGGGGTGAAGCAGGAAGAAGGGACCAAAAACGCGTACTCCCAAATATTTATACGGTCAGGAAAATTAAATTAAAATTAAAATTACGAAATTAGCCCCACGATTTAACGGCATTGAATGCTCCTAGTGCCACACGTAATGCGTGGTTGACCAAAATACCCCTCACAATCTATCTTTCCCCCCCTCCACGCTACCAGCAACCAGGGGCGTAATCTCCGTGACCGTCCTCCGAAGGTTCCGATAATGCCCTTTACCATTTTTTTCGCTCCCGGATGTATTCCTATATGATATATTTGTGTTTTATTATTATTATTATTTATTTATTTGTTTTTAAAATTTTAGAGTTGATGAAACAAATAAATGTCTTTTTTATTATTATTAAGAAATGTTATTATTTTAATATTATATAGGGTGAGCTTTCTATAAGGTTGCAACCTTAGACAATCCAATTAAGGTGCACCTCCAAATTTTATCATAACATGTAATTTTGTTGTAAAACATTCTTAGGATTATCTTAAAATCTATTTTCATATACAATTAGAAAATTTTAAGCTAAAAAAATGGTTAAAATCAAGGAGATCTATAAACATATGAAAATCTTGAAAATGGACGGTCTAGATAATATGTTGTAAGATGCACCATTTTTGAGACTCAAAAACTTTTTTTTTTATATGTTCATGGATCTCGACGTCGAGATGATCAAATAGAGGGTTTTTCAATATTAAAACAACATTTTCGATAGATTTTTGAGGTACATATGTAATTCTATATTTCAAGGTTGCAACCTTTATATATATATATATATATATATATATATATATATATAAAAGGTTGAGGTTTGTATAAAGTTGCCTCCTTATAGTAATGTGCGGTTATAAATTTATTTAGAGATGTCGTTTCAGTGTCGAAGACTTTATTATGGCTTCAAAATCTCTTTTCATCCTCAATTATATATTTTTAACAATAGACGGTCCAGATAACTTGTTACAAGATACACTATTTTTTTGACTTGGACTTCTTTGTTTTCTTCATATCCATTCATCTCAAGGTCTACATGATCATCTCGTGGGTTTTTATATGCCGGAACACTCTCCACTGTAGGATTTTTGAGGTGTACCTTACTTCAACAATATAAGGCGGAAGAACACTTAGAGAAATGCTTTAGCTTGATGCTTACCAATGTGATGAGGAGTGGCCATTTTACAGGCTTTCAAAGGCCCAATGGAGGACCGTGTGTTTCCCACTTGCAATATGTTGATGATATCCTTTTGTTTTGTGAAGCACAACAGGCTCAGGTTGCGAATATTGCTACTTTTCTGAAATGCTGTGAACTTACCCTGTGTTTAAAGGTTAAGTTGGGAAAAACATGTGTGGTGGGCTTAAATTGCTCTGATGCGAAGGTATCTTCAATTGCACGGATTTTTGGTTGTAAGGTTAAATATTTCCCTATTACTTATTTGGGAATGCCAATATCAGATGGTTGTCTCCCTATTGCAGTTTGGGATAAAATCCTACAGTGTATCCAAGTTAAGCATGACTTGTGGAAATTTAAGTTTTTATCCTTTAGGGGTAGGATTACGCTCATTAAGGCGTGCTTGTCAAATTTGCCTATTTATCAGATGTTTATTATACAGATCCCCGCATCGATTGCAAGGAAAATTGAGACTATGATGGAGAACTTTTTGTAGGGGTCCTCTGTTGAGACGAAGAAGTTCCATCTCTTTCGATGGGATAGAGTTTGCATGCCTAAAAAAGAAGGGGGGCTTGGTATTAGTAAAATTAAATTGGTTAATCAAGCTCTACTCTGTTAATGGTGGTGGAGATGCCTTACTCTTAAAGACTATCTTTGGTACGAAGTGATTGCTTCGAAGTATGGGACAGATAGGTATGGAATGTGGATGGGGAATAGGAATGGTATAAAGGGTATGTCGGCCAATTGGAGGGCTATCCATTCGTGTAAAGGCTTTATTCATCATGATATTCGGTGGTGTGTAGGTATTGGCAGCAAGATCTCTTTTTGGCATCACAAATGGTTGGGGGACTGTCCACTGAAATTAAGTTTTCATTTGATTTATCAGAGGATGACTAATCAAGAAGCCACTATTACAAAGCTTTTTGTTCGTAGGGGTGGTCATGTTGAGTGGAATATTACCATGCCTTATAATAGGGTTTCTGTTTCGGTTTGCTCTCAGTTTTCTGATCTTCTTAGGGTCTTGAAGGATGCTTATATCCTTCATAATGCGATGAGGTGGTTTGGAAAATTAACAAAAATTAGACTTATTTTGTTAAATCTACGTACCACTTGCTCTTCCATGATAGGGTGCGATGGTTTATGCCTAAAATAGCCATCTTGTGGAAATGACCTCTACCTCTCAAAGTACAAGGTTTCTATGACAGACAGTTCAAAATAGGGTGCTTACGATTGATAATTTTATTAAGCGAGGAAATTTTTTACTGAATATATATGTCTCATGTCCAAGGAGGATGGGGAGTCTGGTGGGCATCTCTTTCTTCATTGTCCTTTTGCCAGTTGCATTTGGAGGCGGTTCTTTGACATGCTCCACCTTTGGTGATTGGGGTTCTACACAGTCTTTCGGCTTCTTTACCAAGGACTGAGAATGTTCTCTTGCAAATCTCTCGAGGTGTCATTCTTTGGAAAATATGGAGAGAGAGAAATAGAAGAGTTGTTTAAGGTATTTCTTTGTCGGTTGGAAAAGTTTTGGACAATATCTTGCATTCTATTTAGCTGTACCTCTCAGTTACTGGTTGTGGACAGGATATTACTAATGTGGATGTAAAAAGAAATTTAGACAACTTTTTCCATTTGGGTTTCCCTAAATGTAGGCCTAAAGGCAGATGGATGGTCCCACTTTCAAGGATTTATAAACTCAACTTTGATGGTAGTTCGTTGGGTAACCTGGGACCAGCTGGTTTTGGAGGGGTACTTTGGGATTGGATGAGGATTGTGGTTTTCTCCTATGCAGGGCCACTTCGGGTGCGGACTGCGAGTTATGCAGAGCTCTTTGCCCTTCTTTTTGGCCTTCGTACCCTTGTGGAGAGGAATTTGGGCTCTTCTTTCATGTTTGAAGGGGATCCCCTAAATGTTGTTCAGTGGTGCAAAGGGGATCAGAAGCTACCTTGGGAGTTCAAATCTTTGTTACTTTAGATTCTGGATCTCTCCTCTTCTTACTCTGTCTCTTATCTTTATATGGAGGCTAATGAGCTAGCTGATTCTCTTGCCAAAGGAGGTTGTTCCCTTTATGAAGCTGTTATCTTGGATTCTATAATTTCATTCTAGATTAATAAAATCTTTGAACTTTCTCTAAAAAAAACAAAGAAAAAAAGGTTGAAACCTTATATAAACTTTTTCCTATATATAAATATATACTTTATTTATATTAAATTTTTAGAATAAGTCTTATGTCTTCCCCTAAATTGGTTGAAGCACCAAATTGTTTTGTTTTTCTCACCAAACTGAAGAACTAAAGAAAATTTCACTACAATGATGTTGGCAACTTCAATTGTGGAATTAAAGTGCACCTCCAAAAAGCATCGAAAAAGACTATTTTGACATTAGAAAACCATCTAATTGATCATCTTGACATCAAGATATATGGATGGAGAAAAAACAAAAAGATATCAAGTCCTAAAAATAATACATCTTACAACATATTATATGGATAGTCCATTTCATATATCTATTGTTTCGTTTGATTTGAACCACTTTTTGGAGTTCAAATTTTTATATTTAGAGATGACAATAGATTCTAACCATCCTAAAAATTTGGACACCAAAATTGTATTTTATGACAAAGGTTGGAAGTGCGCCTTGCTTTGAATGTTTTGGGTAAAATTTTGTTAGGTTAGTGGATCCACCTATTTAGATGAGTCAGCCCTCCAGAACTTACATTACAAATGGATTTTGAATATAAAAGTTTTGGATTTGATAATCTTAAACATGTTGAGTATGAATATGGAAAAAGGAAAAATAAATTTAAAAATTTAATAATTTTTAACCAGTTATTAAGATTGAAAACGAATCTAAAAAAGGAATATAATTTTAAATTTTTTAATATTTTTAATTGGGATTGTATATTATGAGACCATTTATTTTTAGTACAAGGTGGTCATAATCACTTTTAACCATTAGATGTAAAATCCTATAAATGAAAGTGTGTCATAATATTCGACAAATTTTATATTAGACTTTGTGCCTAGACAATGACGTATCCTTAATCACCCGATTTTTTAAATCCAACAATAAATGATGAGCGTGACCTCTTTTTATCAAAAGTAATTAGTCTCATAGTATTTTATCAAAACCGGTCCAAACACTAGTCAAACCCGTTGAACTGGATCTTAGAAAAAAAAGAAAAGAATAGACATAATAGTGTAAAACTATGAGTTGCATTAATTTTTTTTTCCGACTTCATTTAATTGGTCAAACAAGATAAAATCGATTGATCTGATAAACCAAAACTAATTCAACATTACTTTTGACTAAACCCGATATTTATCTTAAATCAAACCGATCAAGGTACCGGTCTGATGGTTTGACCACCAGCTTTGTCCAATCTTGAAAATTTTGTTTTTAACACCATCCATTCTAGTTTTTGGTAGGGTCCACGACTTTCTCATGTCCAATTTTAAGATGCATGTTTGTTGCACTCGGAGGCCGCAGCTGTGGAACTGCATCCCGTGACACATAAAATGCTTTTCTATTTAACGTTTTAAAAAGGGCGATCACATGAAGAGTGTTACAAACAGTATGCTAGTAACGTAGACTACGGTCTGAGTTAAACAACAGATGGTCAAGACTGGACTTCCATCAACATTACTTGTCAACAGTCCATTATCGATATGGGACGCTTTGACAAGTTGCAAGCATACTGCTTTGAAACCCAAATCCTGCTACAATATATGGTTCAATATTTCAGTGGACGGACTTAGAATTGCCCGAGTTGGCTCAAGACACATTGACAGCTTGGTATTTTAATTTT